GAGACGGCAGCGGATGGAGAAGTGACCAGGGCAGAGACAGAGAGAGAGGGGGGGAGAGAGAGAGAGGTCAAAAGGGTTTTGTAGTTCCCGGTGCTTTTTAACAACTGGTTCTCTGCCCTAATGACCTGCTGAATAGGCGTGGCTAGCGGGCTGTCATGTGACTGATGGAAGTGAATGATGTTGAGTTGGCTACGCCCACTAGGTTTTGTGGCTCCCGGCGTTTTCTTTCCTGTGGGAAAGGGGTCCAAATGGCTCTTTGAGTGTTTAAGGTTGCAGACCCCTGCCCTAGACAAAAGAGCAGAGCTGGTGGAGTCAGGCTGGAGCCCGGTCTTGTAAAAACTCCCCTCGGTGTCAGTTTGACTAATTTGTTAGTCTTATCGCTGGCAGGATTCAACGTGCCCATCAAGGGCGCAGGCCCATAAAACTAATGTAGTGAGGAGGCCGCCTGAGGGATGATAGATACGGCCTGCCACTTGGAACAAGCATTAGCTTTATGAACCAGGGGTAATTGAAAGGAAATATTTGTCATTGGTCTCTGGCGGACAAGAAGTTCATGGCAAACTTTCTCGACTGGCAGTGGTGGGTGGGTGGGTTGCCCCCATCTTCATACCTATTGATCGGGAAGGAGGAGAAGGATCAAAGGGGGTTTCTGTTTGTCAGGATCGGCCCCAGATAGTTGAGAAGTGATAGGTTTCCAAATGAAGATTGGTTCAGGGACAACCTTGGGAGAACGTCCTCCTTGCGCTCCTGTTCTGGATCTCCCAAAGCATTGAAGTGACATCTCAACGAGTTGGCCAAAATGGAGCTGTCATCTCCTAGAGGCTCTTTGGTATCATCCAACCAACTCTTCTTAGATTCTTTGTTGTCGTTTTTAATTTGGATCACAAAAAAGGAAAGTGTGAGAATGGTTCTAGAAGGAAAGGCCGTGAAGCAAACACCAGGTGGACTTCTGGCGAAAGGAATCATTTGTGCCACATCTTGAAAAAGGTCTTGTGTTCCCTCTCATACATCATACAAAGAGGAGGAGATACAGAGCCAAATGAAAGTTATTATCTGCTTAATTCTATTATTAGAAGAGAATATGCATAGCTGGGAGTTGAACTGTGTGGAGTTTTTGGTCCTCTCTGTATGTGGTCGTCTACATGCAGATGTTTGGTTACCTAACTAGGTAACACCATCAGTGTTAGTGGGTGTGGGGTTTTCTCTTTGTTTATATACAGTAGCTTGCTCTTCCAGTGTTGGTGGGGGTGTGGTTTTCTTTTTGGCAGTTCCTTGATTAGGGTATTGTTTTCTGCTTGTTTGTTTGTCTGGTGTTAATCCCTGCTTATTATCTTAGGAATTAAGAAGGGAACAGCACCAGAACACATCCTCTCCAGCAACCAACACCCAGATAAACAAGGATTAAGACCTTACCAATGTAAAAATAGCCGGCCAAGGCAAAACATTTTTGCCAACATTTTTTTCTATGGTATCATAGTTTGCTATGTGCGAGGTGTGGGAAAAAAATAGGACAGCAACCAACCAAGTCATAAATATACCCATAATTTAAACTTCCCAGAGGAGGGAAAATGAGCTTATAATGAATAAACGAATTTTCTGGATTCCAAATGTGTTATCACTTAGTGTGATGAAGAGAAGACACAATGGTTGTCTTCTACTATCAGAAACGTTACCAGTGGAGAAGGATATTCCCTTCCATTCCAAAATCAGGATGAGCAAGGGCCAGAGTCTCTGAGAGAAGAAACTTCCAGACATTATGGAAGATCAGATGCTGGGAATAAATTGAGGCCAACTTTGTAGAGGTACTTAGGAAGCAATTCGATGGCCATCTGTCAGGGATGCTGTAGTTGAATGCTCCAAGTGGAATCTGGATTGAGCAGGGGGTAGATTAGCTGGACACCAAGACACCTTCCAATTTCAATCTTATTATGTTATAACTCTACATCATCTCCCGTTCCACCACCCACTCCCCACTCTTGACTATTCTGCAGGCCGCATTTCCCAGCCTCCTGACAGATCCAACTTCAGCAGGCCATTCTGCTTTCCAAACTGGACTTCTTGTTAAGCTTGGCAAAGCCCAGTCATTAAGAGAGGAATTGACTCTTTATTGAGTCGTTGACTCTTCCCAAGAGATGTAAGCTAGTCTGCCAAATCGGAGCTTCCCTTGCCAAGATGCATCAAAAACTTGCGGTGCCAAAGAATAGCTTAGAAGTTTGCAACTTAACTTGTCGCTGGTGTTCCTTCACCAGCTGGTCCGTTAGCCTCAGGCGAAAGGGGGCAGAGCTGGTTGTGTGAAACGTTAGGAAGCAAGTTAGGAATCTGCAAAATCGACAAATGTTAAACAAGCGTAGAAAGCAACTTCGATATGTTCTGGTTACTAGAGATTAGTTGCTTCCATGTACTCAGGTGAGCATTTATGGTGGACTGTCTGATTTTAGACATACCTGTCAGCCCTGCTAGGTAGACTGGACCAGGAAATCAACATCACAGCAGGGCTAAAGCTACTTTTAATAGAGATGGGTATAATAACAGAATCTTGCAAGTTGTTATTATGCTGGACCTCATACACTGTAATGAATCCAGGAAGCATCTGCCTGACTCACTTCTGAATGTTATCTGGATCTTCTGGACTTAAGCAATATTTCAACCCCTTTTACCTAGGCCAGGGATCAGCAACCTGCGGCTCTGGAGCCACATGTGGCTCTTTCACCCCTCTGCTGCAGCTCCCAGTCACTCAGAATATGCTTCACAACCACCAATGTGCGACACCCGCCGGCACGCGATTTATTGAGCTTTTCAACCCCCAGTAGGCCAACCATGGATAAATCCAAGAAAAGAAAAGTATCAGAAGAAAACAGAACGTTTAATTCAACTACATATGCTAGTTTTGTGGCTGCTCAAGAAATAGTCAGGCACGGGAAGGGTTTTGTGGCTCCCGGTGTTTTCTTTTCTGTGGGAAACGGGTCCAAATGGCTCTTTGAGTGTTTAAGGTTGCAGATCCCGGACCTAGGCAATAATTCCTGCATGTCTCCATGAAGTTATCTTCCTTACTCTCTATGCAAGAGTTTCTCAACTTTGTCAGCTTGAAGATGTGTGGCCTTCAACCCTCAGAATTCTCTTGCAAGCATGGGAGCTGAAGTCTATATAATTTTGGAAGTTGAAGTCCTCATAATTTGGGGAGTTGACATTCATCCTGGGCGTTGAAGTCCATCGTATGCTGACTGGGAAATTCTGGGGGCGGAAGCACTCACATCTTCAAGCTACCAAGGTTGAGAAACGCTGGTCTATAGAATGTCAGGTTGTTGAAAGGTAGTGTACCTGTTCTGTACTGTCTCATCCTCTGAGGCTACTAAGCGAGTTCTTAACTAGTTCCTGAATCCAAGATCAAAAAAAAAAAAAACACCCTGTTTCCAGCACTGAGTGCAGCAAGAGATCCCGTGTTCCCATCCATGCAGGGTTTATGTGTGTGAGAGTTACTTTGAGACGGTCAGATGTGGAGCGTAGGATATATGTAGACGTACGGCTGTCTAAGTGTTTGTCTGCAAACCCTGGATACAGGATTGGATGCATCAGTATCCATTCATCTGTCACCCCAATCAAGCGAAGGAGCTTTAATTGACTTTAATAGCCATCAAATGCCATCAACAATGTCTCTTAATACACAAATCAATTAGCCCGTCTGATTGGCACGAGGAGAGTGGTCAGGTGGCTGGGAGAGGCAAGAGAAGGAGCTGCACGCAGCCGGTTGGTCGAAGGATGCTGGGAAAAGCATCCTTCACCGCGGCAACAGAGGCGGCTTTGCAAACAGCACTGTGGTACCCCTGGAGGCTTCTGTATTCAGTTCATGTTACTCTCCTAGCTTGATGTTCCAGGCTATAAATGTAGCATTTATCTTTTTAGCTCACTCCAAGCCTGCCTCCTTAGGAAGGGGCTTAGATAGAGGCAGTCATGCGTGCATGAAGTGTTGACATGCGGACAGTTTCTGGTTCAACATTCTGGCCGGCTCTTTAGACCAGGCGTCTTTCAGGAAGCCTTTTCCATTATTATTTTTTTTTAACCCACCCATCTACCTGCCCTGGGAGTCGGTTGTATTTTCACACGCCCTCCGGACTTGCTTCAGTCATTACAATAAGCCTCAGTATGCTTAAGGTAAAGGTAAAGGTTCTCCTGGCACAGGTGTCAGCAACCTGCGGCTCCGGAGCCACATGGGGCTCTTTGGGCCCTCTGCTGTGGCTCCCTGTTGGGTGAGCCCATCACTAGCTGACCTCACCACTCACCCTCCCCTTCAAGTCCTTCTTCGCCTGGCCTGAGAAGGTAAGGGTGATGGCAGGGGATGGAGAAGTGTCCAGGGCAGAGACAGAGAGAGATACAGAGAGGGGGGGAGAGAGGGAGAGAGAGGGAGGAGAGAGGGAGGGAGGAAGAGAGAGAGAGATGTCAAAAGGGTTTTGTGGTTCCTGGTATTTTGTAACAACCGGTTCTCTTCCCTAATGACCCGCTGAGTAGGCATAGCTAGGGACTGATGTTGAATTGTACATATATACAGCGAAATTGATTTAGCCTCCACTGGTGCAATCCATAGCAAAATACACAACAACGTGAACAATATAGAAAATGGTCCTTATACAAATAAATGGGCACGAACACATAGATGCCTCTGTCCCAAATTGCTTTTTCAGGATGCAACTGGGCTTCCTTTGTTTTTTCCTTGAAGACCTTTCGCTTCCCATCCAAGACGTTGAACTGAAGAAGCTTCCTGGATGAGAAGCGAAAGGTCTTCAAAGAAAAAAAAAAAACAAGGAAGTCTAGTTGCCTTCTGAAAAAAAGCACCTTTGGGACAATCGTGACCTGGATGACTGAGAATCGCCACAGACATGGATACCTCTGGATATCATCTAAATGTGGATATGCCCCAGTTCAGAAAGATGGACTCCTATTAGAACATGGAATGGCTCTACACAAACCTAGAATCTCATCAATCCTTCTTGTGTTTCCTTTGGCAGATGAACCGTCCAATCCAAGTGAAACCAGCAGATAGCGAAGGCCGGGGAGGTAGGTGGCGTTATTTTTTAAATTTATTTTAAAAACAACATTCTTTGTATGCTCAGCCAGTTTCTCCAATGGGTGGTGCAGGCAACACTTTAAGTTGATTTAGATCAGGGGTATCAAATTCAATTTCATTGAGGGTTGTGTTTGATCTCGGGGGGGGGAGGGGGCTTGGTGGGCATGGCTGGGGTGGGCGTGGCCAGCTCGACATCCTTTGTGTCAGGGGCACTCGTGGTGACCTGAACAGAGCTGGGAGGGATCTTCCTGCAGCCCTCTGCCAGCAAAAACGGAGGATCCATTTTCGCTGACAGAGACACCGCGAGCTGGTCCTTCACTATTTGAGCCTCGGTGGCGCAGTGGTTAGAGTGCAGTACTGCAGGCTACTTCTGCTGACTGCCGGCTGCCTGCAATTTGGCAGTTCAAATCCTACCAGGCTCAAGGTGGACTCAATCTTCCATCCTTCCGAGGTGGGTAAAATGAGGACCCGGATTGTTGGGGGCAATATATTGACTCTGTAAACCGCTTAGAGAGGGCTGCAAAGCACTGTTCTGTCCCCCTTCCTCACACAGGCAAACATAATACCAAGCACGCCTGCCAATATTTTATTAGGTAAACAGATTAGAATTCTTGGCAGACCAAGGTTTTGGCAGCAAATTGCCAAATGCCTGCCAAGACTGTTTTCACTCCCATAAAGCCGAAGAGGACTTATCTTCAGTCCATTCCAGGAGCAACAAATTATCCACGAGACAAGAGTTTAGTCAATGTTCAGTCCAAAATATATCCAAGCCGAATTTCAAAGATCACGATGTGACTTTCAGGGTTTAACTTTGTCTGTCACAAAGCCTGAAGAGCAATCCCACCCACTTTTATTCCTGGTGGGGCGTGGCTCCATGACTCAGCTCAATCTCTGGCCCTCCCACGCCTCTTCTGTTGCTGCGCACGCTTCTCCCTCTGACGCTGCCTGGGATCAAGCCAGGATTCATCGTCCTCGCTCCCTATCAATTGGTGCTCCGATATGCCTTCCTCCTGGCACATCCCAGGCTGTTCCTCCTGGCCTTCAGATGGAACCTGAGGCATTGCCAGAGAGGAGGGTCCTGGAGAGGGAAGCCTTGTCAGTTCCTCCCCATCACCTTCTGAGTCCTCTTCCTCTGTTAGGACAGGCTCGGGAGTTGGGGTCACAACAAGCACTATGAAGCGGTATATAAGTCTAAGTGCTATTGCTATTGCTATTTACAGGGTGGCCCTGCAGGCCAGATCTAAGCACCCCCATGGGCCAGATCCGGCCTGCCAGCCTTAAATTTGACACCCCTGGTTTAGATCATCTTTGAGGATGATGTGGTTGATGTGCACTTGATGTGGTTTAGAGATCATTGGTGAGGGGCGGTCCCTATGGAGAGGGAGGAATGTGATGGACCATAGTAAAGTGGATATTGTCCAGAAAGAAGGGAGCACATTCCAAGGAGGGAGAGGTGAGACAAGACCCAACGTAGCACAGAGCTAGATCGGAGAAGGAAGAGAGCTAAGCGAGCCATTCCTTAGAATCTCCCAGGGATAGAGCAATCTAGGTTTGGCCTGGCAAGATTCTGTCTTCCTGGTGTGAGCAAGTAAAGAACTAGATTTTGGCTGCATTGTTCTATGTCATTCTTGGGTTGGGCCTGACATCATCCTTCTCAGACAAGAAACACAATTAGACGAGCTAAAACTACTTTAAGCTACAAGATACACCAGAATCTTACATGTTTGAAGGTACAAACTTCCCACCATCGCTTTTAACCACCTGACTAATTAGGTAAGGTAAAGGTAAAGGTTCCCCTCGCACATACATGCTGGTCGTTCCCGACTCTAAGGGGCGGTGCTCATCTCCGTTTCAAAGCCAAAGAGCCAGCGCTGTCCAAAGACATCTCCATGGTCATGTGGCCGGCATTACTCACGCCAAAGGCGCACGGAACGCTGTTACCTTCCCACCAAAGGTGGTCCCTATTTTTCTACTTGCATTTTTTACCTGCTTTCGAACTGCTAGGTTGGCAGAAGCTGGGACAAGTCACAGGAGCTCACCCCGTTACACAGCATTAGGGATTTGAACCGCTGAACTGCCGACCTTTCGATCGACAAGCTCAGCATCTTAGCCACTGAGCCACCACGTCCCTATATTATTAGGGCAAACCCTAAATTTTTTTCTCTGTCCATTAAAACAACTGTGGGCTCTTCCTTCCCTTGTTTGATCCTTCCCTAGGCAGCATCTCTTCCCCTCTTCTCCCAAGGTTTCCATTCCATTAGAAATGTTGAATCAGACCGAGAGGAACCATATTCTCTTAATATCATTGTGCCGGAGCCCCTCAAATCAAATTAAGATCTCAGTGCTCCGTTCTATGCCACTGTAGTCATCCTGTCTTTAAGTAGCTGCTCTTCCCCTTAAAAGAAACAAAACGAAACGAAATTGGAATTAATTAATTGGCAGGTCTTGGAATGATGCCCTTCGTTTCCCAGAAGGCAAATTCCATTAGAACTTCAGGAAGAACCTACTAATAGTGAAGGTCATTCTACTCTGGGTTTAAATCCACAGAGAAACGGTTGGAGATCTCTTTGCTATTTTGTATTTTCAAGAAGGGCTCGAGGAATATTTTGGAGGAACAGTTTGGATCCCAGCTCTAGTAAGAAAGTAGAGTCGATGACTTGAGTGGAGCCTTCAAAGTCTCCAGTTGTAGGATTCTGAGTAAAATAGGAACGTTGCAAATCTTTGCAATGTTGCAGATCATTGCAGTTTGAGTAAGAAGGGTCCAGAGGAGGAGATAATTCAGCTAATAGAGATGCAGAATCCTTTGAGAGTCCAGCTCTGCCATCTGACGCCTCCCTCTCTTGTAACACAAGAGTTTGTGGAGTTTGGACTGCTCTTTCATAGTCCTGTTCAGACCAGTGGCATTTTTTTTTAAAAAAATAGCAATCTCTCCACTGGCTACATTTAAATTGGCACTTTTGATCCTTGGCCATTGACCTTAGAGGCAAAAACACAGTTTGCGGTTTACACAGCAGTGAGCATGTGAGCAATTAAGCCAACCCATGTAGGAGGAGGGGGGAAAAACTCGTTTGGAGACAGCAGGCACAGTGGCGAGGCTGAAACCCATCCGGTTGAGCCCTGGACAATGTCTGCTTGCCTCCCCTTCCCCATTTTTGATGCGATTGTAATGAAAAGCAAAAAATGGAACCCGAAAAGGACTCGCCGATTTGCAGCGCAGACCATTAGATCTCTCAAATGGTCCAGAGATATTTTACTAGGAGAGTCCTCAAATCTTCTGCTCGAAATAATAAATTTCAAGCCTCCCACCAGGCTTGAAATTTTAGGTCTGGATTGCCTCAAACTACGCCGTCTACATTCCGACCTAAACTTAGTACACAAGATTATTTACTATAACGTCCTACCTGTTAATGAGTACTTTAACTTCAACCGTAATAACACAAGGGCTATATAGATTCAAACTCAATGTAATTCGCTCTAATCTTGATGGTAGGAAATACAACTTCTGCAATAGAGTAGTGAATGTCTGGAACACTCTACCTGATCCTGTTGTTAGTCTCTCTAACCCTTTTACCTTAAATTGTCTACCGTGGACCTTTCATGTCTCTTAAGAGGTCCCTACGGGGGCGTGCATAAGCACACCAGTGTGCCTACCGTCCCTGTCCTACCTCCCCATTTATATGTACTCATTCTATGTGTTTATGGCTATGTTTTGCCTATTTATAGCCTTTTATTTGTGCCAATTTCTTTTCATGTGTCCATGTCTATGTCTATACTGATACTTGTTTCTTTGGACTTGTTGACAAACAAACAAACAAATAAATAAATAACTTTCCAGGCACTGAGGAATGCAAAAGCTGAACTCTTATTATAGAGTTGTGTCCGCTCATCATGCAAACCGATACACAGAATTTTAATTAAATTTAAACGAGATTTAAATTTAATTTTTCCCCCCCTTAACCCACTCATTGCTGGAAGCTTTAAAGCAGTGTTTCTCAACCTTGGCAACTTGAAGATGAGTGGACTTCAACTCCCAGAATTCTGGAAGTTGAAGTCCACTCATCTTCAAGTTGCCAAGGTTGAGAAACACTGCTTTAAAGATTTCACCAAAGCTACACATTAGCCTTGGATCCAAGACAGGGACGGATTTACCATATACTTAAGAACATTCAGTGGCTACATTTTTTTGTTGTTGTTGTTAAATACCTAGAAATATGTACAAGTCCGCATTATATTCAAATAGACATTTGCATGAGAATGGAGCATTGACAGTAACAAAATAATAATAATAATAATAATAATAATAACAACAACAACAACAACAACAACAACAACAACAACAACTAGGTATTCTGGCCACACCTGAACCAAATTCCATCTTGGTTTGCTGTAATTTGGCCACGATACTCTTGGGCATAACATCTAAGCTTAGCGCAGCACAGTGACACCCGCCCTCTCTGTGGAGAACATCTTAAAAGGCTTCAGAATTGCTTCTTCGCGGCTGACTAGCGCCCTCTAGGGGAATGTGCTTGAATTAAAAAAAAGAAGAAGAAGTTGGCATCCCAAATACCGTAGTAGCGTTTACAACCAGATTGAAGTTTTGCCAGAAGCTTCAGGTCTTCAGCAGAACCAATAGGAAATTCTCAGCATCACAAATCATGAGGAGGGTGAATTATTAATGCCTCCCCTAAGCTATCTATTTAAATAAATAAATACCACTACCTTACCCTCGGTTGGAGGAAACCATTCTCTCTTCCTTGCCAAAAATAACAGCTTATCTCTTGAAAGATTACTGTTGATATTATTGTGATAACGGGGGAGCCCACCGTCAGCCAGATGTTTGGATTGGATTTGGCCTTTTTAGCCACCTATCGAGTCCTTCCGTAAGGACCTAGGAGAGACAGATGTTGTTTGATGGTATTATTAGTGGTAGCATTTATATATGCAATAACGTGAAATCACAGCTGCCAGTTCTTTAGCTGGTGCTGGCCTT